AACAAAAGCTTTTGTTTTCATTATTATTATGAAGTGCATTATTTTAATGTGCGGCATAATTTAACTTGCTGGGGGCAGGGGAGAGGGAGGGGTCAGTCTATATTATAGCGCCAGTGTTGCAATAACCCTCGAGCACTTTTTTGGAGGAAGGGGGTTGAGGGCTCGAATCTGAGTCTAGAGAGCACGGGCGTCGTGAAAAGTGAGATGCTTTACCCGGGAACCCTCCTCCTCCCAGGCTTATTCTTATCAGAAGGTTTTTCAGAAGGTGGAGCGGTTTTTAAAACAGCTGCTTGCATGTTATAGGGACACGCGCGTGGAGAAGGAATCATGATCATTTTTTTCTGAGCGGCTCGGGGAATGCAAAAAAATATGTGGAAGCATCAGCTCGTGGTTCAATCCCAACTGAAGGCAAATTTTTGCATTTCTGTGATTTCCTCTTCCTTGCGCTCGAGCGTAAACCTTTTAATATACAAATGTTCAACGTTACAATGTTGCAGAGTATATTGTGAATGAAGAAGTTTCACTCCTTAAGAGATGTTTTCCGGGATTTCTGACACTCTCAGGGCCGCTATGGAAAAGGCTATCATAAGTTTTGCTTCTACAGCCTGTGCCCCATAACAGGGCAAAAACCGATCTGAAAAAACGCTCCATGTACTGAACGAGTTTCCTGATTAGGCCCACGGTGCAGAAGTAGGAGTAAAAGGCACGCTAGGGAAAAGAAAAAGACTGGTCGTTGCCCCAAGATCCGTCCTCCTCTTGGACTTAGGCTTGGGCACTTAACGCAGAATCGTAGGCTACCACAATTCTAACTCAAAATTCTGCCAGCCACTGCTCTTAGGCATATTACACCGTGTATTTTTTTCCAAAAATCATTCCAAGAACTGCTCATCCAAAACAGGAAGTAGGACTATCAAAGACTGAGATATTGATGGGAACAGACCAAAAAGGAGGACTGGCTAATTATAGTGAAGCTTAATTTTACCACGTATTTCCTCCGAAGATTCGAAATTGCATAATTAAATACGGGTTCAAAAAAGGTAGAGATCACGAGGCGGTGAGACGGTTCGGTTTTGATAACGTCATCGGTGATCCAGCCTCCTCTGCGAGCTGGGGGGGGGGGGGACGGGACTGCTCGTTACGCCCTTTCACCAATGACGTTAATGACGTCATCAAAACCGCACTACCCTCCAGCTATCGTGATAAATGTCATTAAATAATTTTCTCATCCTGACTGACGACAATTGAATTGAACCGACAATTGAATACCGTGAATTTGGAAAGCATAAAATTCGAAAAAAAAAAGAAAAAAGGCGTGATTCCATAAAGGGATAGAGGGACACATTGGTTCAATAGTCCCTGCGAGCTCCAGTAACCCTAATTTTTGAGAGCGAGAGAGCTTCATAGTGAATGAGCTAAATGGTTGTCGACAAAAAGGAACTTGGTGAGGGCATAAAAACTTCTTCGAAAACTTTGTAACGCAGAAAAATGTTTTTTACGGATTTGAATGCTTCGAGTGCTCTACTCCAATTTGGTCACCCCTTTTAGTATAGCGCAAAAAGGTCTATTCCAGTTAGGGGGGCATTGCGGTGCACAGTCTGCTCTAATGCCAGTTTGGCTCAAGGAGTCCTTTAAAGTTACGAAGCTGCTATCAGCTTTTTTCCTACGTTGTTTCTTCTGGTTTTTGTATAATGTATGTGTTCTTGTGCTTTGTAACATAAACGTCAATGAAAAATAATATTTACCTAGTGATCAGCTTAGGACTAAGCCTAGAAAGATTTCCCAAGATTCCCCCCGAAGGGAATCCCTCTCCCGAGATGCCCTGATGGCCCATGTACCGAATTTCCCTCTCTCTGTGGCTCAGTCCTGAGCTCTATACTAGAGATATGCATTCGCGGTTATAACCTTGTTGTAGCACTCTAACGCCCATGACTCCATAACTGAAATAGCCCTAAAAATTGAAAGCACGAAAAATACTGGGGTCAAAATTACAAGCATGGCTTACCTTCGTGCCGTAATTGCGGTAAAACGCAATTCTTCGCGGCTTCACATGCTTTTAGACATGCCCGGCCAGCAGTTTCGACTTCTCTGAAAAATAACAGATCATGTATTTCTCGCTGACAACTTCAGCGAACTCTCATCGCTTAGTTTTCGAAAAAAAATCAATAAATGATCAATATATTCACAGAACTGACTGACCTTCTTAGAGATGCACCGTCGTGACTCGTTCCTATACCCTGCGTCGCGTTGCGAAACAACGCCAGTTGCACGTTGCACTCGTGCACCAGCTGTAAAATCGATAATCGATTTTTTGGAAAACTTTAACCAATACTATAAAATGTAATAGTTGTTTTGTAAAAGATAATTTCTTTTTATATCCCGGGTTCATGGGATTTCAGAAGCCGCAGCAGTTTTGCTATCCTAAAGCCAAGAGTTTCACCTGAGCCTAGAATACGGTAGCATCACGGTGGCCTTTGATCGTGCGTTAAACAATTTTGATGACCATTATTTCAGTCTTCTATTCCAGAGGCAGTCGAAATTAGGAAGAAAACTCACTCGTGTTCGCACCTACACAACTGGGCGCGGTTGGGAGCCTTACAAGACGGCGAGCTGCAAATTTCACAGAGTTTCATCGGAAAATTGTTCAGAAGAGAGCAGTACAATTAAGGTCAACAAGATATAGTTAGCTTCAGTGAAGGCTGACAGCCAATGCGGGTAGGATTTGTCCTTCACAGTAGACGGAACCATATTCTACGAATGCACTTGAAGTACTTTCAAGCGATCGGGTCAAAATCTGTTCAAAAAACCTTGAATCGATCCAATCACAATAGATAATTGATAAGGAACAGTCGCGATTGTCACACCGACTGGTTCAATGACTAGCACGTGAGCATACCCGAATAAAGCCCCTCTAATTCTGAGCAAACTATAGATTTGAGGCAGAGCGATTAAACATTATAATAACCAGTATGCTACTTGGCGATACATCTTAGCTTTTAGCTTCTTAGAGATTAGAGCAGCGAATCGCTCCAAATCGATAATCGATTTTACATACCGTAATGGATAGGACGGCACGAAAACCAATGGGTCTTATGTTGTTTATAACGAATCCTGATGGGTTCTAATCGTTGTTTTCACGGTTCAATGACATTCCAAATTCTATGATGCGGAACTAACGACGTTCAATGAAAAACAGCTCGGAAAATTCGTCCGTTCGTGACCGCCGCTGTCATGGCATCATTGATGTTCATCGAGCCCAAAGTACAAGCACATTCACACGCGTAATGATGCCGATGATGGGCGTTCGTTCGCGCTCGTGGAACGGACATTCTGAATTCAACGAAGACGATGACGTCAACTCGTCCATTCATAGTGGCGTCGGCAGCGTATTGTCGTGAGCATCGAACACTCAGCCTCGTTTTCTGATCCCCATAGACCAGACCCACGCCGGCGTTTCTATTACGGCATCAACTGACATGTGCTTCAGTGCATCTGATGCAGGGTTTACAGCGAGTAAGACAATTGACGTCGGCGTTCGGTGATCTCAGACTGATCGAAACAGTTTCACTCCAGATATGATTGATGATGGTGGCCTTTAGGCATAAACAACCCTGATGTGACCTCAGCATGACTTCGCACGTGTAAACCACACTAATTCAAAGGCAGTTTACGATAAAAAGACAACCCACTAGAAGTCCGGGCAGAGGTGGTTAGTGATGCAGGGATGAAAGGAAAATTGTCTATAACCCATGGAACAGGAACTATTTTTGCCCATTGATTCGCGCGTTAGACGTGTCTCATCAACCGTAAATGCCTACCTCTCTCTTCTAGAGCGGCAAGATTCAGACGACGAGGGGTGGGCGGGCAATGGCGCCAGCGGCGCGGGTATGGCGCTGATGGCGGCTAGGGGCATACCCTTCGCTGCGAAACCCCGCTGCCTCTTCACAACGTATGTTTTCTCTCCTTCGCCCTAAAACCTTAATGTGGAATCCTTTCAGAGTAGATGGGATGCATACGAGAATGGAAGTGAACACAGCTATCATTTCACCGTCGAATAAAATTCCATTCAGGGTGAATATCGCTTTGAGGATTCCTCAACGGCACGTCGAGGATTCTCTGCCCGATCAGAGACGATCTCTCGCGCGGACATTCACACTCGCCATGCCGTGCCGTCTGTGCTCTCCGCGCGGATGTTCACTCTCGGCACTACTCTCGCATGGTAGAGAGCTATGGTCGAGGATTTCCTCGACCGTTATTCACCCTGCTTCCATTTTAGGCTTTGTCGTCAACGCACGCGCGCAACTCCACAGGCACAACCTGGCAGCTGTGGTGAACATGTTTTGCCTTTTCCCTCACCACCACCACCACAACCGTCCTCCCTCCCCCTCCCGCTCGTCTCGCCTGGTTGTGTATGGACAAGAACGCTACAGATTTATTCTATAAAATCATCTGCTTTAAAGGATCAGTCTTGGAAAACCATGATTCCAACTCACTCAAAAATCACCAGCGCTTGAGACTCATCATCCACGATAAGAACCCATTGTTGAAAAAGCTCGTGGTCCTTTATAGTGGGGGGGTGGGAGGATGAAGGGTCAATGTCTGCCGAACCTAAAACAAAATTTTCGAAATTCTCCAACTATGAATACAAAACCCTTCCCATTCCAGAAAATTCCTTCCCATATCTTCAAAAGATACGGTGGCCATTTCAGTACCCGTTCCACCATATGTCCGCCCTGTTAAAAACCACCAAGCGACACTATTTGCATTGCCGAAATTTCCATGAACGTTGACCTTGTAGGAGTGCAGCCGTCTGTCCAGTTAGTCCTTCTAAGAGATAGGCCCCAATGTTTCAATAGACTAATGCCAGAACGCTTATCAACCTCATGACATCAAGCTCTAATTTACCACCTGGGAGGTGAAACTCGAGATAATCCTCTGCAAATGATTGAGCCAACCATAATCGAAGCATTGAGGAATGATGACGTGAGCTCCGGAGAATAAAAGGATAAAGCATTTGCCGTTGATCAATCCCTTTTGGGATGCGGCACGCATTCTACTTCCATTTGTACATTCGTAGTGGCGTTTGAATGCGATGTGGCCTATACAATGACTTGCGGGGGCCAGCCGATGTTCAAGTCAGTGTTTTTATCCTCCCAGACAAGTCTGGTACCAATTAACCGACCCCGGAGGGATGGAAGGCTTGGTTGGCCCGGGCGACTCACGACCCAGGATTTGATCCCGGACCGCTCGCGTGGTGAGCGCGCCACTTGTCACTACACCACTTCCGCCCCTACCAAAAGAATGAATCCTCGGGACGTCAAACGAACACCTGGACGACCGCCGGCCCGATGGTCAGACTTCTTCACGAAAGCTCTGAACGAAAGGAATGAAGGACTTCGTGTCCCTCGAGCGAGGAGGGTCCACTGGACTACTGCACGCGACAGGGACGGAATGAAGATGTTACTGGCGCCTGCTTGAGGGATTCGACCCTTTTAGCAAAGTGTTCAAGTTCTTCCGGCAGTTTCTACCCCACTGCTGAACTGGAAGTTCTTCGAAGTCACCGATGTACTGAATCCAATGATTCCAACCCGTCTAAAAATGTGTCAATCTTCGAATGGCGGCGTTCCGGAAGAGCAAAGAACGTCAACGTCGTTGCACTTCTAATAGGCACATGAAAGTCCGTGGAAACCGATGAGATGTGGGGAGGCGGGACTCAATCTTGACATCACGTCAATAACGTCATCGCATAGAAAAAACCTCCTAGTCAATGACGCCAAGAATCATGCGCGCAATTGAAAAGGTATCTTTGATAAACACCCAATCATTCAGACTAATCAATAACTAATCAATGACTCGAGCCTCGACGCTGATAAGTGATAGCACAGATCACAGAAGCAGAATGCAATACTTAAGTTTGCAAGCAGTTTGCAGGAAAATGGTTTCGAATTGACAGTTTTTGAACCATAAGCCTTTGCAGTGATACAAACCTTACAAGGGAGGTCGTTCAGGGTGTGCCAAGCTTTTTCAAAATGGTTTCTTGCATGACATTGGGGCACATATGGGGACCACAGAACATGGTTCATTTTTCCTGAACGGCCCTCTGAATACCAGAAAAGGGGTCCCTAGTTCGATTCCTCGTGGTGACAAATTTTTGCATTTCGAGTTGACGTTTCAAAATTCGCGCAAAATGGAGTTAGCATGAATAATTAGTACCATATTCATGATTAGGACCGTCAGTAACCCTTACAAATAGACTTTGATTGAAAAACTGGTGAAAAGGTGTGACTAGGGACCCCCTTTTCTGGTTCAGAGGGCCGTTCAGGAAAAATTAACCATGGTTTTGTGGTTCCCGCATGTGCCCCTATATCATGCAAAAGACCGTTTTGAAAAAGCTTGGTACACCCTGAACGACCTTCCTTGTTAGCCACTCAACCATGCACGCTTACTGAATACTAATTGCAACGAGTCCAACATAAAAACAATGGAAACGTGAAACTGCAGAACCCAATACGAGACCAATGATGAACTAAAAGGCATATAATCTGATTTGGAACATTCCTTCGTTTCGAGGTCCCGAAGCGCGAAAAAAAAATCGCTGATCATGCGAGAAAGTCCAGTCAGTTTAAAGTACAGCTATGCAATTAATGATTGGAGCGCTCAAAATTCTTGGCAAAAAATGAATCAACAGCGTAAAATAATGAGTGAGAAGTAATCGATAAATTGATTCGATAATCGACAGTGAAGATGTGCTGCAGTAAGTCTGATAAGTCCTCATCTGGTCTGGATAAGTAAAATATTCTTAATTAAACACCACACGATACGACAGACAGTATTTGAACCTCAATTCGACCCAAGAAGAACCATTCTGTCACCCACTGCGCCATAGAGAGTCACATGTCGTATTTTTCCGCTCAGTAATTTTGGGCGAACTTCAGTAACCCAAATCTTTCACCACCAGGGATTACTGTATCTAACTCGTTCAGTACGACGAATACACTGACTTGACATCACCCGATCGCAGCAATTTATTGAGAGCATAAGAGTCGAATGCATGGCGCGCACCAAAGAAACGCTGAACAATGCTAAACGTACAACTCGTTATCTTTTGGATCCCTCTTAGTCATAAAGTTATGGATTTCAAGTGCTATGAGCTTCACTCATAGCAATCTTCAAGATACGGATCGACAGATTCTGACGAAATTCGTAGTCGCACTCTTCATTTTTGGGATATGTGTATTAGCAGTTGCACTACGCGGGCACCGTTTCACATAAAGGAGGATTTCACAAGAAGGTCAGAAGCTCGTAGAGGGGGCATACACCTGTTAGAAAGACAAGCGGGTGCCTAGGGTCGATGTCAGATCGCGGAGGTCGACGCGAGAATTCGCCGGCGTCCGCGGTCGCGTTGCGGTGTCTAAGCAATCGAGCGATCTGCTGATAGAAAGGCGACCATGGACGCTAGCGAACCGCTCGATTCGCAAGGTACGACATCGACCTAAAGGGGGTGGGACGAAGCCAGCGCCTACCAGGGCCATACCCGCGCCGCTCGCGCCACTGTCCGCCCACCCTCTCGCCGTCTAACAAGACGCCTTTTCATCGTACACTCAGTTAACCAACAATCAAAAAACCAAGCAAAAAATCATACCCCCGTCACACTCCACTACACTCTCTCTCCCCAGCTTTGGGAAGATGGAGAAAAGCGGGGGGGACGGACGACTTCTCCTCTTTTGCCATGGAAATCACCAGGTCGGTAGGACAAGTGAATTTTCAGTGCAACCTATGTTTTGTCAGCAGCAATATGTTGGTCACAGTTGAGAATAGGAAGATATTTCTCAAAAACCGAGGTTATTCTAAAACCCATTGAGGGTGAGGATTCAAGGAAGCTGTTTTGTCACTTCGTTGCTTGTTTCGTAAGAACCCATAAGAGGAAGGCTGAACAAATAAAATGCCCACCGTTTGTGTAAGTCCAGTAGGCTTAGAATTTTGATTATTTTTTGTTTGCTTTTGCTTTGACACCAGTCAAATTGCATCAATTGTTTTACTGATCATGAGTTACTGCGTATATCGAGACGGCACAAATTGAACGTCAATGTTAGGTAGACAAGTATAAGTATGTAAATAAATAAATAAACAAATAAATGAGCAAAATTTGTTTAACACAGAGAAGCTCAAAAGTTTTCTTTCCAAAGCGAACAAGACTCGGTTCTCACTCCATCCTGCGCGGCTCCCGGGTAAGGTAGCTTTTTATTCTGCAGAGGCACACTCCATGCCTGAAGAAGGTGTTTAACCGAAATCATCAGCCACAATACTAAAATAAATGAGCAATTAAAAGAAACAAAATTGTCTTGCGCGCCGACCCCGTATCAGATG